AGTTTTTTACCCAGCGCAGAGTACACCTGTCTAAGCCAACTCACATACTTTCAAAGATCTCTTCTGTTTAAATTGAAGGATCATCTCATTACTGGTCTGAATATAAGCAACTTGTCTCATTAGTACAATCCCTTATACTTCCATGTACTGCATCCACAGTAGTTGAACAAGATACTACAAGTATGTAGTAATCTATATTTCAATATATACCTGAACCGGAATATGTAAAACTGTATTTGCCTTACAAACTCTTTGTAAAAAGAAAGACAGTGCCAATCCTTCCACCCCATATGAATTAAACAAACCACAAATAAATAACAAAAAAGGGGAACTTTGGGAAAGTATTAGCAAACAAGAAAACGAAATGCAGCTTAGCCAAGTCATAACTCTATCTAGAACAGTTAGAGTACATAATGCACTATAAGAATAATGAGGTTCAATATATCCCATAGCATGTACAAAGAACATATATATTATTTTTCAATCTAGTCATGTTCTTAAGGTGCTGGTCTAGTTTATTCAATGTTGCTTTGAAGGCTAATGGTCCGATTTTATTATGCTAATGACCTAGTTAATTTAGAATATGGTTGATTTCTGCTCCTTAATTTGAATTCAGTTCAATTTAAAAAAGCTAATTTTCTTTTACTGTGTATGTGTTCATCTGTATCAATAATATCAGGTGGAACAAGCACAGTTTTGGGAATGGCTTTGTTAACAGCCAGTTCTTGAAAGGGAACAAAAGAATATGGGAGCACCAAACCTCTATGTGTCTAGAGCTGGCAAGAGAGATGTTTTTTCGTTATGAAATCCACACTGATCTTCAACTATATAAGATTATGGGTTATGCAAAGATTATGTTATGCAAACACCTCTACTGCTTAATAATTAAACAGTCTACTATTACAAATATTAATATTACAAATATCAGAATTTTTTCCCATGTAAGATCCTCTTCCTCCCAGAAAAAGTTCATGTACTACCTTTACTAAAAATGACTAAACACCTCCTAATTCACAATACTATTTATTACAACAAAAGGCTATAATGCAGAGTAAAATCAACAGTATTGTCATTAGGACATTTTTACTGGACTTTAATAAATACAAAGTTAAAGAATATATTTTTTGTTTTATATTGCAAAGTTTTAGTAGTTTACTTTCACTCAGAACATCCAAGTACTAATAAACAAATTCACAAATCCCCCAGATCCACAGTCAAATACCAAGAATCTTTATTTACAAATATTAAAAAGCAAAGAAACCTAGAGGCAAAGTTCTGTCAGGAGCGTGAAGCACTGCTAGCAAAATTCAATATAAAAACACAGAACACAGGTAAAATTTTTGTATGTTACTCTTGTGAAAATTACTTTCACTTGCTGCAACCAGTAATTCAGGCTGTGGTTTTATGAAGCTATTTCTGACATATGCAAACAAACATCTGGCAGATTTCTGGAAGGCAAAGGATATCTTAAGGTGCCAGATTTTTCCTTTGCTGTATTTTTTGCTAGTAACATACTGCAATACCATGTGGCTAACATGCATGGAAGTAAAATTAAACGTGTTAAAACTGGCAAAAAGAAGAGGCAAGATTCAAAACTAAACACCAGATATGCTACCTTTTAAATAATAATGTAATGACAGGAATAAGCCGTTGGTTGAATGCTGTGTTTTTCAGTGTTTCTGGTGTTAACTAAAAAAAATTATTTTAAAACAGTTTCAGAAAATAAAATTTAGTTTAACAAAATCCCAGAGACGTACTGTACGTAAGATTAAGGAAATAGTTACGCACAACACTCATCATGCTGTCTGAAGGTAAGGCTGCCCAAGTTTACTTGTAACACTGTTATCAGTTATTTATAGCCTGGTCAAATTGTAGCCATAAAGTTGAATTTTCCATGTTGGGTGTCTGCCTGAAGCTAGTATTTTGGGAAAGCTGTTGTAAAAATTACTAAGCCACTTTTGAGAATGAGGGAGTGGGAGAAAACGTGCTTTCATTGTACTTAGTATCTCAGTTAAGAGAAATTACCTGTAAGTTCTTGCCCAGACTTAAACCATTAATGCATTTATTCTGCCCCCTGCAGCTTCCTGTCACCCTTAACTGGCTCTTCAGTCCCATTCTGATTTCCCTCTCTCCGCACCAGGACTTCATATCCCTTACCTGCAACCCCTTGCCCCATACTTGTGTCTGTCTTGCACTACCTCCCAATCTTCTCTCCAAGACATTCCCAGTTTCAGCTTCAAACTTCCTCACTGCATAGTTCATGGTCTCTAGGCACTCCTGTAGAAGTGCAGTGCTTTAGGCAACACTAGTCTTGGAAGATACAAACTCAAATGGTTCAAGTCTGGCAATGTTATAAACAAAAAAATCAACGAAAAAAGTGTTACAAGTGCTGACCACCCTTAATAACAGTGCCTGTAAGAGGCAAATTCACAAAAAGGCGATATACTTTTTGATCAGGCATATGTATCAAGAGATCAAGCTCAACTGTTTGATTTGCTCATTATGCAATTGGCAAATGTTAAACTGTATTAAACATAAAAGCAGCTTTGTTTAAATTAACTCTTCTTAGGCGTTTAAAGTGCCTGAATGTCATCAAAGCACTGTAACTATTCTTTCTGCAAAGTAAATATTTAAAATATTCTTTATCAAATATTAAAGTATTAAAACCATTTTGAGATATGCGCTTGCAGTATTTATGAAGAGTTTTAAAAGTAGTGCTAAATAGAAGGATTTCAAGCTGCTGGAAAAGAACATTTAAGTCAACAAACTGTTTTTAAGTTCTGTGGTTAGAACATCCGTAACATTACTGAAAAACAAATCTCTTCCAGGGAATGGGAATGAACGCTAGAAAAATTAGAGAATTAATTTCTCATAAAGCAGTAATAACCTAGAGTTTAAAGTTCCTCACAATTTGCTTAAGGATGCTGAAATTCCAGGCTGTGAAACAGCGACACAATTGTTTCACATTCAGTTTCAGCTCCAGCTGAGTTTCTTGTCTTGGAATCTCATCAAGCCTTTGCGCTTGGATCCCAGCATAATGAATCCATGTGCCCTTTAGATTTTCCTCAGAGCTACAGTATACCCAGACTATCTGTTTGTTTGTTGTTTTACATTATTATTTATTTATTGAAGGCAAGACTTCGTGGAATAAGGCTGATACCCCTGGCCTGATAACCAACTGTCCAAAGATACTTTCATATAAATAGAGGATTCTCAAGGCTTAATGGCATTCCCTTGTCTAGTGTAAGGAAGCACCGATTATGACCTAACTTCAGCAGCCCAGAGCACTAAAATTAAAACTAGCAAAATATTTATTTTTAAGGAATCCAGACTCCTCCAGTTCTCTGGAGGTAATTAAAAAGGTAATCTATTAATTTTAATTTAAAAACATTTTCTCCCTCTGCTGCACTGTTTCTCTTTAGCTTGAGATGTTGCTAAAGGAGGCACAATGTAAGGTTCTATTGGAACACTGCTTTTTAAAAATATATATATATTTTTTGTCCCCCCACAACATTGAGAAATGGACCAAAAATCCATCAACTTTTCATACACTGTTCTTTCTACTAGTTGGGACTATAAAGGTTTCCTGGAATTCTGCAGGATAAATGTAGAATACATATTATATATTGCAATGAAATTGGTGACATTTAATGTATTTTACTATGGCTACACCGTGACCATTTAGGAACTTCTTGATGTCTGAAATTACATTTTTAATTTTTTTTCATTAGTATAAAATTATAAAATCTTGTTGGATGACCTAGGGCTACTGCTAAGTGACCTTTATGTGTACTCTAGGACTTCTATTCCAACTGCATTAATAAATCAAGCATGTAATTTTAAGGTTTCCATAGTGGCATCCTGACAAAAGCATCCATAAATCCAACAGCAGAACCGCATAAAGCATGCCTATGTTACTGTAAAACCATCTCCAAGAGTTACAGTATGGTTTTCAAGAATCACAAAGAAAATAACACTTTGGAAAAAAATGGTAATTTGTCAAGCTACAGAGACCTAGTTTCACTCTGTTTAAACAGACTTTTTCCACTTGCAAGGGGAGGAAGAAAATGAGCAAGCAGAAAGGAATGGGGAAGGTCCAGCCATACATTCAAACAATGCTGCTTTTCTTCTTATGATGCACAAAGCAAGAATTGACACTTTTTTTTACTGATTCTTCTAATAAAAATTGATTTGCATAAAATTTTTGTCTTGGTTGTGTAAAGCGTTATGGACACCTACACTACAGAGTTTATTTCCAAAAATAAACATCAGAAAGTATTTTTTGTTTCATTGTTCAGAAAACAGTGTGAAAAATTCTCTTACTACATGAAATACAATTCAACAAATAAAAAGATATTGCCCAATTAGAGATATTGCAGGCTCCCTATCAATAAGGATGTTAAAATTTTGGCTCACTCAGCATTTGTGTCCCTTTTAAGTCGTATGTAGACATAACTCGTTAATGAAAGCAACAGTCTTCACCTATTCATGCTACTGTTTGTAATGACCTGCAATGAATAGCAAAGATTTGAGTTAAGTCTGAATTCTACTTTCCCTCCTACAACAGTTTCTTTTGCAGCCTTGAGCAAGTCAGTTACCTTTGCCTCCACATCAATAAAATGAAGAAAGAGTCTATTTGTTGCTGCTGAGGAACAATTATTGTTTCTACACAAGTTGCATACACTGATTTTTAGCAAAAGCTCTGTAATCTTTGCTTAGACGTTCTATTTTTGTAACTGTTTAGAATTCATAATTCATTTCACATAATCAGGTGAGCTTTGTAGACATTACCACACTATGAGCCAGAGCACTAAAAAGCACTTTGTAGACATCACCACACTATGAGCCAGAGCACTAAAAAGCTCATAGTTTAAAGCTAGAAATATTTAATTGGGCTATTCATTGCATTCACTATAACAAAAGGATTTTTTTTCCCCACATGTTGTCTTCTCCATTAAATTATCAAACTGGTGTAATTTGACTAACAAAGATGTGGTGATGTCTGCAGCTGGAGTTGCATCATAAGTCTCTCTCGCTACAGCTGCACCAACAGTTAAGAAAACTGCCTTGAAAAAGATCGTATGTTGAAGAACAAATTAGTTTGCTAATGCTTCACTTCAAATATAGCTGTGCCTAGATTGGAGCGTATTTCAGTGGGTAGAGATAGCCATTCCAGTGTTTAAGTCTGTAGGACATCTTCAGGTAAGGAAAGCATAATAACAACAATAAACCAGTAGACTGGAAATCAAATTTTATCATACTCATTATTTGTTCACAAATATTTGAATTTACTTATGTTGCAGTGTTTCTAGAGTATTAATACCCAAACAATATTTTATCCAGGAAACTGCAAAGACATTATAATTGGCACCCAGGCTTTTAGACACTTTTGTTTACTTTTAACAAAATGAAGGCTAACAATAAACAGGGATAGATGTTTGGTACACATTCTCATTAAAAAAATGGCGATGATGTATTTTATAATTTTTTAATTTTTTTTTTTAATGTAATGGTGGCCAGGAGATATAAATGATAAGAGATTACACTGTGGAGAGCCACTTTTCAGACTTTTTTGGCTAAATTTGAACCTCAGCAGCACTCTTATCTGGCCCTCTCCTTTGCACCCATTGACTCTCTCTTCCATATACAACTGAATGATTTTTTTTCAAGAATCATAAAAAGGCTGAAGGATCCCTTGCAGGTTACCTGGTCTAATTCATCACTCATAGCAGCATTAACACAGACCATGCTGCTCTGGGCACAGAATGGCTGAGGTTGGAAGGGACCTCTTGAGATTACCTAGTCCAACCCCCCGTTCAAGCAGGGTCAGCTAGATTCCATATACAACTGAATGATTTTTTTCAAGAATCAAAAAGGCTGAAGGATCCCTTGCAGGTTACCTGGTCTAATTCATCACTCATAGCAGCATTAACACAGACCATGCTGCTCTGGGCACAGAATGGCTGAGGTTGGAAGGGACCTCTTGAGATTACCTAGTCCAACCCCCCGTTCAAGCAGGGTCAGCTAGAGCCAGTTGCCCAGGACTGTGTCCAGTCGGGTTTTAAGTATTTCCAAGGATGGAGATTCCATAGCCTCTCTTGGACTCTTTTCAATATCTGACCACATTCATGATGAAAATCATTTGCCTAATAATTAATTCACATTTTCCTTGTTGCAACCTGTGCCCATTGCCTGTTGTCCTATCACTATACACATCCAAGAAGAGTCTGGTTTAGATCTTCTCTACACTCTCCCATTAGGTATGGTTTAAGACAGCAGTAAGAACTCTCCTTAGACCCACTTAACTTCACCTTGTATGCCATGTTCTCCAGTTCACATTTGGAAGACAATAGAAAACTCTCATACTTCAATCAATATACTACTTTCTAACAAAGGTGGGCTTGGAAGGAGTAGGACTGCCTACCTTTTACTTCCTTATACTTTGCTCACTGTCTGATAAAGGTGGTAAGCTAGACAGTTTTTATTCATGCTACTTTGTCACTTTTTATCTGCTGCTGCACATTTGTCTTCTGCTAAATAATCAGCTAGTGGCTGCCAAGTGGAATAGGATGCTATACCTTACAGGAAGGACCACCAGTTTAATCTTTCTATAATAGCAGGTCATGCCCATCCTCCTCTTTCTTCAACAGATTAACAGGAAAAAGCTTCAAAATATGAGATCGCATGAGGAAAAGATTGAGAACCAGAGAGAAACCAGTTTTCTACTGTTTTGACGTTTAAAATAAAACCAATGTGCAGAAAATCACAAGTCTATTCATAACATTTGAAATTACAGGTTCAAACTTCAAAATCCACCTAAGACCCAAGTACAGACCCCAAACATGAACGAATGGAAACAAACAAATAAATACTTGTGTGTATATATATGTGTATGCGCGCGCGCACGTGTAGATATATGGATTATATGTATTAATACGTATGAACATAAAACTTTATGTAGCTACCTCTACAACTACCTAACAAGTTAGATTTATCTTTTTTGCATTGTAGATTTGTTTATTGATACTTTTTATTAGAAAAATTTGTATTACTGAATTCAAGCTTAAGTTAAGAGAGAAATGAGCATCAACTTAAGTGACATTTATTCAAGCCACAAAAAGTCTTGTATACTAGCTCAGAGGAAAATTTCAAATCATTTAATGTTCTTACTTGTTTCATTAGGCATGTGACAAATTATACGTAGAGGTTATTGTCATTGTGCAGAATTAGTCTGATTTAATTTGTAAAATGAAAATATCCATCCCAAAGACATCCTATTTCCATAAGAGATTCAAATTTAAAATTTGTATTTCAAGCTTCTGCACTGACTGAGGAGGAAAACAGAGACCCCTTATTAATGAAACTGATCGCTATCAAAAGCAACTGCTGAAATGCAAAAAGAATTGAACATTCACGAAGCATTAAGCAGAAAAACTGCAAACAATGGAAAAGTAAATGGGTGAAAATATTTTGAAAGTTAATTTAACAATTACATACCGTTTTTATTTTTATATATTTCAGAAATGTCTCTTTTTTGCATATATTTTGCTTTTATCAATAACTGAAAAGCATGGTCAGTTTATAGAACAGTAATACTATTACCTGTTTCAGCAGTTTAACAAAAAAAGTTTTGTAAGTGATTTCATTCTCGCGTGTATCTGTGAAGCCTCTGGATCTATACTTTAGAAATAGGTTGACATTATAAAGTTTAGAAATAATATGACAGCTCCGTTTTGATTGTTTAGTTATTTTTAGTAAAAATACACATAATGACATAAGAGAATGGAGCTGTCTTTATCAGAATAGGTTAGGATGTGATCAACGTGGTCTTGTAAGACAGTCTGCTTAGTATGTGTTCTGTTACTTCATGGAGAGGCTAGCTTGCGTCTGCTCACAGTGGTGGTGTCTGCCTTAAAAAAGCTCTAAATGAGAAAGGTTTGGATGCCCCTAACATTTCTTACTGAAGAACTAAGACTTTTTAATTAGCAGCAGAGTTTAGACATGTCTGAATGCATGAAATAGAAGACATTAAAAGTTACAGTTTGGGAGGTTTTAAACAACCTGTTCTGATAAACATTCATTTTGGTAAGTGGGTGGTCTTGGAAATCACTTTTTATCTAACAGTTAAGGAGGTAACTTCAAGGAATCCTGTACAGGAAAGTCACGGTACAGAAGAACACAGGGAGTAACTAAAAAACCACAAGGAAAGGGGGGATAAGTGAGAAAGCAGCAGGAAATCCTATCGAAAAAGAGTAGGCCATAAACCTATTTTGAAAACCACATTATTATATGGGGAGGAAGGGGTTGTGTCACAATCAGGTGTTTGCTTTGAAGTTGAGTTCATCTACAATCAATCCCTTTTCTATTCCTATTTAACTCCTGAGAGAGGATAAACTGGCAAAGGGATCATAACTTTACAGAACAAATTTAAAAGAAGGACTGTGGGTAGCGCTGAAGAAGTGTATGGTTCTGGCCCAAAGGCGACAATGCCTTCTTAGAGAGTAGCTATGTTCAAAATAATAATCTCCACTACAAAGGAAAGAAAAAAAAAAATTTATTAAGTCAATAAAATAGTAAAGTCCAATAAAAATAACAGTAGGAGAAGCAGAGAAGAAAAAGCAGAAGGCAGCCCATCGTGAATGGAACATTAAACAAGGAAGCTGTGCTTCCTGTGGGGTGCTCCCTGAGGAACTGTGCATACCACCATTTCGGTCTTGGCCCAGCCCTCTGCTCTTTTAAAAAGAAAAGGGAAACACATACCGAAGCTCTCTCCTTCCATTCCAATAGGCCCAGGCTGAGGAGTCTCTCCATTCTTCAAGCAGTTATGAATGTATGCTGCCTTCCACCTGGCGTACTTCCTGTGCTGGATGTTCTGGGGAAGGGAAAACGCCAGCCATTTTAACCACTCACTTCTGCGAATTGATGCATTCAAAACAGAAATACAAGCAGGTTTTCCACCCTGAGAAGAGATTATAAAACTAAACTGCCTTCTCTGCTATCATTTGACACCCCTTTAAAGATAAACAACACATGTGAAATTAATTGGTGAATTAAAAAAAGAGAACAGCTCTAACAGGATCTCAGCATGAAAGGAAAATGTGGAGATCTTCAATTAGTGCAGTATGTCAGGAAAAGGAAATAAATTATACCAGGACCATCTGGTGTGAAAGGCAGAGCACTGTGTAGTAATTACTGATGTGACATAATAAAGAGAACTTCCCATCTCCATAAACTTAGATGAATATTTACTTTAAATATCTGAAACTTAAAATGCTACTCCTGCTGATCAATAATACAAAAATCTTAGTTCTAATTACATTATTTTACATTTTAAAAATGTATTTAAAAGCATGAATACAGATAGGCTGCTGTAGTTGCAGATTAATGTGGTATGTGGGATATTCTAGGACATACAATATTTTGATTTAGTATCTTCACAACATAGCTAAAAATCAGATAAGGACTTTAGCAATACATAAACTACCTGCAGAGCAAGGGGTTATGATAATAATGACTTTAAATAAACTGTTAATGACAAGTTTAATAGTTCAGGTATTAGAAAAAATATTAATACTTCCCAAAAAATTAATTACTATATTGACAGTCAATATAATTTTTTGCCAACTCTCGTCTTCTGAAATGGTGTCAATTTGAAGCAATAGCAGTGAGAAAAGCATCTGCTGCTTGCCTTTCTGATTCCGATTCCATTTCCATGGTAACAGTTTGAATTGAAAAAAGGTGGTAGTAACTTCAGTATTTAAAGAAAATCAACATGACTTTTCACTATTTTCAGTTTCTGAGAGAAAGGAATTGAGGAAAACCATTTCACCTGGGGTTTCATAAAGTCTTCTTTTCACAAAATTTGAGTGATTGAAGTGAATGTCAGAATCTCAACTATTTTGAGATTTTCCATTTCATTTTTTAAAATATACTTTACTGTTCTTAGGTACAACTTTAATATGTCAAAACATTAAATGAAGATTGGGCACTTTATATCTCCTGGGACTGTTACAATAGTGTTTTTTTAATTCAGGAAGAGTTCTCAATTGTTACGAGAAATCTTAAACCGACTATGCAAATCAACTACTTTGTCAAAAGTTGTAAGAGAAATAACCAGTTCTGACAGTTATGAGGTAATATGTTTCAAGGAACAAGGCTGAATATAAACAGAGATGAGAAACGTGGAAGGATGAGCGCAATAATTTGGCCAAGTGAACAATGCAGGTTGATAGCGTGTTTCACATCAACATCATCACCTGCAAGGTACTGGTGAACTCAAATTTCCACAGTAACAATCACAGGTAAAGTGGTTTGGAAACTGAGGTAGACAGAATAATCTCTCTTTAAAAGTCCTGACTGAAATTACATTCAAAGTTTTTGAGAATTAATAAAATTAAATTCAAAATTGTACTTCATAAAGTCTATTGCACTGTCATCTAGAACAGGGTAGAGAGTGACAGTATAATGGATATCTCCAGCAAGCTCCCTTCCTCATATTTAATACATTGTTATCCACCAGGATGCTTACACAGCCCAGGAGAAAGACACGGTCCTCGTTTTCGCAAATAAAATATTCTCCAGAAAAAAGCCTATCCTAATGACAGATTTATTAAAATGCATTCAATATACCTCAGAAAGGAAAAGTACAATTGGAAAACATAGCTTTCTGTTAAATACTTTATTTTAATAATCTTTCCTGGCCAGGTAGTGTTACAGATGAATTCTTTTATCATTCACAAATACACTAGAAGCCACAAAATGCAGAAATACACATCCAGAGTATGGTACTTCTAGAAAAGAACATTATGCAAGATTTAACAGCCCGTACATCTCCCCTCTGTTCTAATACCACAATTATTTCCTGATAAAGTGTGAAGATGCTGTTGTATTGAGTGTCCGTGCCCAGGTGCTGGCAACGGGGGTGGCACAGGTGGCATCTGTGAGGACAGGCCAGGGCTGCCCTCTGCAAGACACAGCCAGCTCCAGTGGACCCACTGCAGGACACAGCTGAGCCCCTCAGCCAGGCTGGTGGAAGCGTATTTATGAATGAGCCAAAAAAACCCCAAACCAAACGCCCCACCAAAACACTGGACGGAGAGCGGAGAAGGGAACAAAGAGTGTTTGATGTGTGTCATTATGCATCCCAACTGCAAAGCTTATCATTCCAGAACTGAGAACCTAAATTTTCTTGCTTTTAGTTTGTTTTTAATATGCACTGCTGTCCCTTTTTGGAAGGCTGCCCTGCTGTATGAACATTACTACTGAGGTAAATGAAAATAACACTACTATCACACAGCTTCTTACTGATCTGACGTAAGGTGTGTCTTGTAAAACGTGTCTTCCAGAAAATCTTTTTGCCTAGTTCTAATATTGAGATATGGAACATGCACTGTTTCCTGTGACACAATCCATTCATACTACCCAATAATCAACCACTTGCCAATTAAAAATATACATATTATTTACAATACCCATTTTCTGATTTTAGGTGTCAAGTATCTGCCTTCTATGCCTTCCATTGTTGATTTAGAAGCCTTTTAATGGTTGATATTCCATACATATGAAGGCAATTATATACTGAAAAGACACACAGATGGTCTGAATAATATGAATGGATAGAAAATTTAGATGTCTTACCATATAACCAAGTGATGGGCTGAGCTTACTTCAGGCTAACAAAAGCTTCTGCAAAAGTCTAAGACAGTCGTATGTCATACTTGTCCCATCATTCCTTCATGTGACACTGGATAAGGACACTGTTGAAATGTAGTGATGCTAGCCAGAAGTGCAAACCTTTTACTGTATTTCTTATACACTCTCTTTTAACAACATCTTCACTGATTAAACAATCAAAATGAGATAATTCTGCTTCTTTCCAATTACAAAGCGCTTCTGTCCTTTCAGTATCAACCCCCACCCCATTCAGTAGAAAACATATGACTGTTAGCATTCCACATTCACATTTATAACAATTTCTTCCACCTACAAGAAGGATTGCTTCAGGACCTCTAAGGAGTCACCGAATCAGTGCACTGTCCTGTGCACTGGATTCTTACAGTCTAATTTGATTTGTCTTTTCAGTCCAATTCAATGTGCATTCACTCTGTGGCTCTAGGAACCGTTATTATTTGGTATCGTAAAAGATGTCAGGGTGCATAGCAGCCAGTTTTAAGAAAACACATGGAAGAGCAATCTCACTTGCACCTCTTGATAGATGAAAATTGTACGCTGGTACAGTCTCAGGCTATGGAAGATATAGAATCTTGCAAGAACACTTGGCCAGGTGTTCTTCTTGGGCAAGACCTATCTTTAATAGCTACCCTTACATTCCTATATGTCATAGTATATATGTCATATGTCATCGTGATATTGCACCACTATCAAAACCATTCTTTTACCTTCCTTCCAATATTTATAAATGAAAGTAGCCACAACGACTGCATTTTAAACTGAACAAATATGCCTGCGTGTTAGGCATGCTTATCAGATCGGCAGTTTACATACAGGATGTCAAGTCTGTGAATTCCAAGCAAGATATGGAATAGTTTGGAACCAACACAACCACGGGCTTGTTACAGTCCTGCAAAGCAGCAGAATTTTTGGTTTCTAAGGCACTTTTACAGGCTTCCATGCTTACACTAGTAACACTCGAGCATGTGAGAAAAAAAATATTTGTAGATTTCCTATGTGGATTTAGGTGCCCTGAGACATATTCAGCACTTACGTGATCAGCACTTGCTGATTTTGTCTCAGATTGTTTAGCGTCATTGCTGTTTCTTATTTATTTTTCCAGGTATTTCAACCACCCTTTAACAATCTTTCAAACTTGTCTTCATAAGTCAGTAGCAGCTTTCTCTAATTTTTTTTCTTTGCCAGAAGTTATCAACTATCCCACGACATTTTCAAAACGAGCTTCTCATTCAGTTAATTTAGCAAGGAAAGCTCACTTTTAATTTTCAGAACAAGGAATACTTTATTCAGAGTACCTGCTCCTCTATATCTGAGATTAATTCTTCTGTGGGGCGTGAATAACAATGAGTCAGTAGCAGCTTTCTCTAATTTTTTTTCTTTGCCAGAAGTTATCAACTATCCCACGACATTTTCAAAACGAGCTTCTCATTCAGTTAATTTAGCAAGGAAAGCTCACTTTTAATTTTCAGAACAAGGAATACTTTATTCAGAGTACCTGCTCCTCTATATCTGAGATTAATTCTTCTGTGGGGCGTGAATAACAGAGAGCAGCTGACTATGCACCTAACAGAAAAGTTTGTTTTAAAACAGACCAAGAGAGATTATTCTGGTGTGCCTTAATAAAAGTAATCATGATCTTGTTCAACCAATTCTGGAATGCTTGTTTGATTAAAAAAATCACCTGCCAAAAAGAGCACTGTGTTAGTTACTTTAGTAGATAATTTTTTGAATTAAAACATTCATGTCCTAATGGCCAGACAGAAAGCCATTTTTTATGAAGTAAGTTCATATTCTTCCAACCTAACATATCACCTTTTAAAAGTGGTGTTTGTTGCAAAACCAAAAACATCTGTTCTAGCTAAACTGTACACAATTTCACCTCAGTTACTAGCACTAAAGTTCTTGCTTGCAGGTTGAAAAAAGTGAAGGTGGAAAAAGCCCGGAACCTTGCATCATTTTTCCCTATAATCATTCCTACTTGCTCAATGTAATGCTATGTGTCCCACAGTAATAATCAGACTTTGCATTTCTAACTGATGCTTAAGTCATGAAGCATCTTCTAACAGGTAACAGTTATCTAATATTTCACATATAATTTATTTGAAATACTTAGCACAATTCCTTATAACTTACTAACATGTATTTGACTACACAATCAGAACCTATGTTCTTTGAAGTTCATATTCATAAATTATAAAAACAACTTTACAGAACTAAAACAGTAATTGGCACCTGTGCTAGGAAAAGCAATCAGATAATACACTGATATCCCTAATACTTACCTCTTCAGAGAGCTCCCCAAACACTGTTAGAACGTCTATCAGGAGACTTGCGGTATAAAAGGACTTTATCATGTTTCTGTAAAAAAGAAAACATTTCACTAACTTGGTAATGTCAGTCTCTTGGGATCACATTTTAGAAGTTGGCATTTTAGATCACACTGGCTTATTTCAAGCCAATCATCACTAATTTTTTTTCTTTTAATCCAATGTTACAGAATCAATCATCACTTTTTTTTTCTTTTAATCCAATGTTACAGAATTTACTTCATAATGTTTAAATGTAGCAGTATATTAGCTAGTCTCCTGACTACTATGCAGAAACTTTTCAGTATTTTTTAAAGCTGGTCATCTGTTCTGCACTTAGTTTCTAGTTTGGAATGTTCAATATAGGACATAGGACATCCTATATTATCTTAGAAAAAGCTTAGCAAAGTCATCAACATGCTGTAGTAATTGCTGTAAATCAAACCACGTAATGTATCATCACAACTATTTTAATATCACTGGACAGTAAAAACTATAACATGCTTGACGCGAAGCTCAAGATTAGGCTGGGGTTTTAGAAGGCTTGCCCATAGGTGAGCAACCTCTTAAAAAGCACAAGGAGGAGGATACCAGTTTATGTGTGAAGTTAGAGACATACAAGGAGTAACAAATCAAGTTTTCTGAAAGAGAAAAGAATGCATTAAAGCACAATTCTTGTTTCCAGTCAAATTAAGAAGAGTTAGGATATTCAAATTTCCTGACCAGGATCTTAATTCAGATAACAAAACCAAAGATTTTCACCTACTTATGAAATCGCCCAGCTCTGTCTTCATTGTCTGCATACAAAAACATTTTCAAAGCATAATTCTCCACATGAGCAGAACCAACAATTTCCTGAGTAATTGCTTCATTATCACCAAATTGCTTTTTCATCTGAAAAAAGTTGAAAAAAATACATTCATTACCTTATTAGACCCTAGCAATTCTGCAATCTAATTCAAACACAAGAAGAAGCTGCTGATTTAGACAAAGCCAAGTACAATTTAAAAAAAGAAACAACACACACTTCCATTTTACAAATCTCCAGCTTCTAACATAACAAACGCTAAAAGTATCATGCTAAAGAGAAAGCACATTCTTTTGGAGGGAGAAGTATGAATAAGTAGCTCCGAATACCATCTTCAATCACAAAATACTTAAAAAAACCCCAAACCAACCAACCGAACAAAAAAAGTTAAAAATAAACACAACTACAACATTGTAAAGTAATAGCTACAGATATTTTTCCCCTTACTATCTGAAAGACCAAGCACTCTGAATCCTGTGTCGGGATTCAACACAGTTCAATTGATAAAGTAATGCATGCTTTATAAAGGTACTGTAGGTCAGAGTGATCACGTATCTTCTCTCTTGTAAGGTTATGTCACTGAAGTTCATTACATCTTTCAAAGCGTCTGAGCCCTACCTTGACTGGTCTAGTGACCTATGGATTTACTGGAATTTTCAGTGCAAGCAGTGTACTGCAATTCAAAGACCTCTTTTCAAAGACATTAGAGTACAAGAATCCTCAGGCTTCCTAATAAAAATCAGTAATGCAAATAACCCTCTAACAGTTACAACAGGTGGATTTACAGCTTCTGAATAGGCTTACTGTTTGCACATAAGGAAATCTCAGGTTATCCTTAGAGAACAAAAACAGGAACACTGCATGATACTAACCCACAGCCTTTATTTTGCCAAAAGATTTAAAAACAATCTCTGAATGGCAGTTATTTTTCCCTGTGCGTGTAAAGAAAATTTAATCATGCAGGCTGCATTTCCATATTTTTTAGATTGCTGCCAACTTTTTAATACATGGAACGCTGCCAGAAAAGTTACTTGATTTCAGTAGTGAAATCTAAACTTTCCAAACAGAACTTTAAATTTGAAGACTTTTGTCAAACTCATACTCTACATAGTTTTCCAAAAGTATTTGTGTTTTACAAAGTGTAATTGTTTTTCTTGTGAGTGTACCACAATTTGTAAGTTGCAAGGTATGTAACTGAAATGAAACACTGAAGTTAATTGAGGAAGAAAATTATTTGTTTATATATATATATTTCATCAGCCTATATATGCACCTTACATTCAGAAAATAACTTATTACTATACTTGACCTGATTGAATATTCAATGGAGATGATTTCAAATGCACAAATGACACTCAGTTACACATGCTTCTAAAAATATTAAAGTTAACCAAGTTGTTTACTTTTAAATGAAACAGTTACCTATTGGAAAAGCAAAACAACACAATCGTACGTAAAAATATTTCTGACAGAAACATGCATTTTGGATCCAAATCATTGCATTTAACTAATTCACATACTTGGAATATTATGAAGTTTCTTGCAAAGAACACATCTGGTGATTTCCATATATATCTACACTGTTTTATTCTTTGCTACTATAAAGTTCAGGATTGTTTGTAAGCTTCTGTCTTAACCTTTAAAATAATTGTGGCAACACACAGAAAGCCGTGAGAAACATTCAGCACAGACCTGCCGCACCCCTTTGTGCCCCCTGCTGGCTACGGGCAGACTGAAAACCGCTGCTATTGAATTACTGCAGAGGTCCAACTTCTCAATATACCCAAGCTTCCCAGCCCCAAAAACGCTGTATTAGATCTGCTTAGAAGTGCTCCCTCCATCCTTCCGCCACTTGGCTACACAGAAGGAACTTCAATACCTGAGCATCAGTTGTCACACAGACAATCTTACCAGCAGCTGAAAGACGAAACCACAGGTTTTTGCTGGTTTTCTAGTCTTTCCAAATTTGAAACAAAAGGGGTAACTGAACACTGCTGGCAGATTAGTTGCTGCAGCACCGCAAGGGATCAAATAAATTTTAACAATTCTTAGGGAATGAAGAGGAAAATCTTTCCAAGTTTTAATCTCATCTCTCCTGCCACCTCTCTTCCCTTTTGAGCATGAAAATCAGACCCATTATAGATGTTAAAATTTGATGAAATAACACACCGAGAAGTCACTGTACACTGGATTTTCCATTGCTAAAAAAATCAGAGATAAAACATAGCAAGAAGCACAAAGTATGAATAAAAGACAAATGGTTCATGTTTCATTTTCTTTCTGAAGAATTGAAGGCTGTTGCACTAGTTTCACACAAACTCTTCAAGCATTGCTATGGCTAGATTTTGGATGGAATCATTAATACTGATCACAAAAATAACCACTGCTTCATTTTTCAATGTTACTTTCTGCTTCCAAATAAACACTTAAACCTTAAAATCCACACGCCACTTCCTTTGAGACTATTGAAAACTACAGCACGTGAACATAAACAGCTCCTGGAACTTAAACTGACCATCTGTACAATGACTTTACCTTTCTTTGTTTAACTCCATTCTATGTAAGGTTGTTTGCTTCTTAATACTATCAGGTCTACTCAAAAGAGTGTGGCATAGCTATCCCTTACCCACACAGATAAGACTGTGCTTACAAAAATTCATAGTATAAGATTCCTAATCTCTAACAGAGGATACAATCAAAAGTATCTTTATCTTTTAGAGAATGTTTTAAAAAACTCCCTGGGCACAACAGTTTAGGTCAAAAATTTCAAAAGCACCAAGGACTAGGCTAGCCAGTCCTATAGCAGTGAAAATAACTCTCACAAACTTCAAGGAATCAAAGACAAATCAATAAAAAAAGTCTTCTAGAACTCCTGCATTTATTTCATAATGAATTATGACTTCTCATGAGAATATGTATGAATAAAGTATTGTACTTCATGTTGTCTAGACAGAACCTTACAGCAAATGTCTGCTCTATGAAATTTCAGTTATGTTTGTGCATGTACACATATAAATATACTTACACATACAGCTTTATCTCCTTTCAATCCTTATGCCAATTTATTACATACACCTTAAATTGATACAGTATACCTGCATACAGCATAGTTGCATCAACAACTGATGACAGAAGAAAGACAGTATTTGCAGAAGCTTAAATAAAAATTAAAGTAACATCATGAATTGTTTTAGAGAAGAGCAATTAATTCTACTTACAGCTTCCAACTGATCCATAAGTTTGGATAAAAATTTACGGCATTCTGGGGTTTTACTATCAATCTTCATCCCTGTTTGCATTGCATACAAACGACCTTTAAAGGAGACAAAAAAATCAGACACACAAAAAAATCAGAAGTGATTAACTAACACAAAACCCATAAGCAAATAAAGCAATGCCCCCCCCCTTCTTAAAGACAAACTCATCTTGTGGTTTAACAACGTACTACTACAGTACTAGTGAGCAATGACAGCAAAATCTACATTATGCTCAGTCTTGCAGAGATACTAGGAGAGATTTTTCTAAGACTTATGCTTTATTTTTCTCAATGAGTATTTCTGCTGATTTCAGATTGATGCTTGTATCACTGTGACGCAATATTAAGTGCTTTTGTAAATAATCACCATCCTCGTTTGCAACTCTCTCAAATAGGAACTTCCAGTCGACTTTTATCCCTAATTACACATGAATAATTTTCATGACTTACATATATGTACAGAGTGTATGGATATATCTCAAAAATGAAGCTTCATGTAGCAGGAACTAGCTAGCTTTAAAACTCCACTTTAACAAATGGAATTAAGCATCTATTATACCCATGTATATGCATACTTATCATCAAAGACACAAAACACAAACCTGATCTTTAAATCAGACAAGACAGACTTGATTAAACTTGCCCTGCAAGTAAAGTTGCCAGTTTTTCATATGATCTTGAAAATGAATGATTAATGTCTTCTGATTAAAAATTATCTTTTTACTACCAAAAAAATCTATGAATTTTAGATATGCACATGGCAGAACTTTATATGCTTCAAGAAATTGTGGGTAAAACCAAACAACTATTATTTACCAGGATTAAGACACACAGAGAAGGGAAAATGGACAGAAACATTCAGTAACCAAATACAGAACATTTTTCACAGAAAAACCCCATTCCACTAACTCTCAGTCCTGACCCTCAAGGGAGTCCTACAAAATACCTTCAAATGCGGAGCTTAAGAACTAAAAGTTGTAGCTCTACCAAATATTATCACGAGCTAGTTATTATGGCATACCCCAATGCCCTTCTTCCTGCAGGACACAGAGTTCTGCAAGTGATCCTTACTTGCTTCACAGCTTTACCATCTCTCTCCTTCCCAGCATCTCTTCATGCACTAGAGATAGCCTTTTCCCTTCAAATTATCTCAGTAAACACAAATATAACACAGTTGTTTTCAAACTGCACTTATCCTGATGTTTGCTGCAGAAGGCGGCATTATATGCTCAAAAGTTTGTCTGCCTTTTCCATCTATTATCAGTCTGTCTAATAAAATTAGATCTCTCTCAACAAAACTTACCTAGGTTCTGCTGGTGAGCATCATAATTCAACTCATTTTTCTGGATTTTAAAAGTTGTATTTCATGTTTCATATACAACTGATTATTCAAACCAGACAAAGTGTACATTCCTTATTTGGGACAGCAAAGCTGACAAATTTTAGTGTTAAAGCTGTTGGGCTGCCCAACCATTTAAAGACCACCCCCCCACCCCC